GACTGTATTCACTCCAGGCATTGGTAACTTGTCAGCTTTGTGGGTTTCATCAGGGCTCAAACAGCAATGCCAATGCTAATGCTGATGGTGTTGATGGTGATAATGAATGGCTCACCTGGACCATGCTGCCCAGTTCACTCAGCACTTTAGTCATTCATTCCATTGGTCCTTAAAAGAACCATGTGAGAAAGGGAAGTCAAGGATGGGAATTATCCCCAATTCGGAAATGAACAACCTGAGGCTCAGCAAGGTTAAAGGATGAGCCCATGGCCATACAGTTAGCAAGTGCTGGAGCAGAGACGTAGAGGTGAGTTTTTCTGATCTCAGTTTCCCCTCTCTTTTCATTGTCCCCCACCTTCTAATGGAGAACATGGACTGGGGAGGACCTTGGCGGGGGGGGGGGCCCAAGCTTCAAGGAGGCTCTTAGACTACATAGTCCTCAGCTGCTTTGGCCCCCACGCTGCCGCTCAGCCAGTGTACACACTGCTGCTCAATGATTGGTGCCACCAACCTGGAAGAAGGCAACTTGGTCCCCATGGGTTTGCCTCCATGGTGGACCCTTCCTTGCCCACAGCCACCTACCTGGGGCCTCCTCTGACTCCTTCTCATTCTCAAACTCCTCACAGCCTCTTGGAGTCACAATCCACAGGGTTTGGTGCCTTGAAGGACTCACAGAGCCTGTTAGTCCATTGGCTTTCTTGTGTTTTTTTTTGTGTTTTTAAAATTTATCTTTATTGTTGAAAGTATTACAGATATCCCATTTTTCCCCAATTGACCCCTTCCACTTCGCTCCCACACCCTCCCCAGGCCTTCACCCCGTCATTGTCTCTGTCCATGGGTTATGCATATATGCATATAACTTCTTTGGTTAATCTCTTCCCACCCTCCACCCCCCTTCCCTCTTCCCTCTGAAATATGATCGTCTATTACATGCACCAGTGTCTCTGGATCTATTTAGTTCATTAGATTCTTTTGTTCATTAGCTTCTTGGTAAAGAAGACCCTTCAACATTTCCTGTAGTGCTGGTCTGGTGGTGATGAACTCCTTTAGCTTTTCCTTGTCTGAGAAGCTCTTTATCTGACCTTCAATTCTAAATGATAGCTTTGCTGGGTAGAGTAATCTTGGTTGTAGTTTCATGATTTTCATCACTTTGAATATTTCTTGCCACTCCCTTAGGGCCTGCAAAGTTTCTGTTGAGAAATCAGCTGACAGTTGTATGGGTGCTCCCTTGTATGTAATTACTTGCTTTTCTTTTGCTGCTTTTAAGATTCTCTCTTTAACCTTTGGCATTTTAATTATGATGTGTCTTGCTGTGAGCCTCTTTGGGTTCCTCTTATTTGGGACCCTCTGTGCTTCCTGGACTTGTAAGTCTATTTCTTTCCTCAGGTAGGGGAAGTTTTCTATAATTATTTTTTCAAATAGGTTTTCAATTTCTTACTCTCTTTCCTCTCCTTCTGGCACCCCAATAATACAAATGTTGGGCATCTTGAAGTTGTCCCAAAGGCTCCTTATGCTATCTTCATATTT